TGGCTTTTGGGTCTTGGTCCACTTTTATTTTAGAGGCTAGGAGTAATTCTAAAGTGTTAGAATTAACAAGCAAAAATTTCATGTTTATGCTACCAGCCCTTCTACCCTGAGCTTTGACTTTACCTTCCTACCAATATGGACGATGGGTTGATATCAAATTGGTTTTAGCATCTACAATTCCACATAGTATAGAAAAGACATATGAAAATAAAAAGCAGTCTATCTTGACACTGACCTAATAAAAAGCACCATCAAATCTAGTGTAAAATCTAACATGCTGTCTTTCTCTCTCTGTATATACAGGTGTATATCTATCTATAGTTCCAAATAAGTAAAACCAGAGGCATAAAGTGATGAATTCATTCAATCTGGCAGTAATAAGTGATCTGGGATCAGAGAGAGATCGTTAAATATACTTTGAGAAATATTGTGCTGAAGGAGAAAAGAATCATTAGGAAAAAGGGAAGCTGGGGACAGTCTATTTTTCTACCAAGTACTATGGAACTAACATATAGATAATGGCAGTCTGGTTGATAGTTTGGTGGAGTTTTTATACATATATATATATATATATATTTATAGTGTTCTTCTCATTGAGCCAGACAGAATAGGGTTTAATACTGCAATGAAAACTCTAATAAAACAGTAAACTACCATGGCACAGGCTGAGATCAACATTGCTCAGTTCTTTTGTTGTTCTGCTATGAATTGCACTATCCTGCCGAGTGTGATTGATTCTTAGCTGGGGATTGAAGTTTATGCGTATTACCAAACTGACACAGACTTGAGTCAGTGAACATTTACACCCTATTTCCATCCAGGTGTACCTTGATAACACAATTGAGACTGAAGAAAACAGTACTGTTATCTGCTGAGCCACTTGGATCCTTGCAAGTCTATGGGACCAGATGAGATCCATCCTAGAGTGATGAGGGAGCTGATGGAAGAGCTCGCCAAGCTACTCTCCATTATTTACCAACAGTCCTGGCTCACTGGGGAGGTCCCAGATGATTGGAAGTTGGCAAATGTCACACCAATCCACAGAAAGGGCTGGAAGGAGGACCCAGAAAACTACAGGCCTGTCAGCCTGACCTCAGTGCCTGGCAAGGTTATGGAGCAGATCATCCTAAGTACATTCACACAGAACCTACAGGATGGACAAGGGATCAGACTCAGCCAGCACAGGTTTAGGAGGGGCAGGTCCTGTCTGATCAACCTGATCTCCCTTTATGATCAGGTGACCCGCCTGGTGGACAAGGGGAAGGCTGTGGATGTAGTCTACCTGGACTTCAGCAAAGCCTTTGACACTGTCTTCCATGGCATTCTCCTGGAAAAGCTGGCAGCCCACGGCTTGGACAGGGGCACTCTCTGCTGGGTTAGGAACTGGCTGGAGGGCTGGGCCCAGAGAGTGGTGGTGAATGGTGCTGCATCCAGTTGGAGGCTGGTCACTAGTGGTGTCCCCCAGGGATCAGTGTTGGGCCCAGTCCTGTTTAATATCTTTATTGATGATTTAGATGAGGGAATTGAGTCCACCATCAGCAAATTTGCAGATGACACCAAACTGAGGGGAGTGTCGGTCAACTGGAAGGCAGGAGGGCTCTTCAGAGGGACCTGGTCAGCCTGGAGAGTTGGGCTGATTCCAATGGGATGAGGTTCAACAAGGCCAAGTGCTGGGTCCTACACTTCAGCCACAACAACCCTCTGCAGCGCTACAGGCTGGGGACAGAGTGTCTGGAGAGCAGCCAGGCAGAAAGGGACCTGGGAGTTTGGATTGACAGGAAGCTGAACATGAGCCAGCAGTGTGCCTGGGTGGCCAAGAGGGCCAATGGCATCCTGGCCTGTATCAGCAACAGTGTGGCCAACAGGTCCAGGGAAGTGATTCTTCCCCTGTACTCAGCACTGCTGAGGCCACACCTGGAGTACTGTGTCCAGTTCTGGACCTCTCAGTTCTGGAAGGATATTGAGGTGCTGGAGCAGGTCCAGAGAAGAGCAACAAGGCTGGTGAAAAGGGACTCAAACACAAGTCCTATGAGGAGAGGCTGAGAGAGCTGGGGTTGCTTAGCCTGGAGAAGAGGAGGCTCAGGGGAGACCTCATCACTCTACAACTCCCTGAAAGGAGGTTGTAGCCAGGTGCGGGTTGGTCTCTTCTCCCAGGCAGCTATCAGCAAGACAAGAGAGCATGGTCTTAAGTGCGCCAGGTGAGGTTTAGGTTAGATGTTAGGAAGAAATTCTTTACAGAGTAATTAGGCATTGGAATGGGCTGCCCAGGGAAGTGGTGGATTCTCCGTCCCTGGAGGTTTTTAAGATGAGACTGGATGTGGCACTTAGTGTCATGGTCTAGTAAGCACGGCGGTGTTGGATCAAGGGTTGGACTTGATGATCTCAGAGGTCTTTTCCAACCTGTCTGATTCTATGATTCTATGATTCTATGACTGACTCTCTTCTAGGATTCCTGATTGCTTATTCACACTCGTATTAAAAAAAAACTTTTCTGAAGAATATCCAGAAGTACTATGGCAGAAGAAACTTGGTCTAGAGCTGGATGCTTTCCCTCTTTCTGGACAGAAGTAAATACAGGGCCTGAAACATGAATGAAACGAGGAAACAACAGAGATTTTTCTGGGTTTATATTTTATCTCTATGATCTAACAGAAAAACAGTGTTCCAGAGATATTATTTTTTTGCATTTGTTAAAGCTTTTAGTTACTTAAGCTTTCCCTTGCTTTTCTAAGCTAGAGTTCTTACCTCATCTTGCATCTTAGTCAGTTAGATAAAGAGTAATCCAGGCTACATATCTATTCTTATTTATGTTAATATTGTTTTAAAGGGACTTTCACATGTTGACTACAGCCAAAAAATTGACAATAACTATATCTTTTGTAAATCAGAGTATCTCCATTTTAGTCATTAAGTAGCATTGACTGTCACCAGTGGTAGAACATAGAATCATAGAATTACAGAGTCGTTAAGACTGGAAAAGACCTCTAAGATCATCAAGACCGACCATTAACACTACCATCTTCACCACTAAACCATATCCCCAAGTGCCTCATCTACACATTTTTTAGTACTTACGGGGATAGTTATTCCACCACTTCCTGAGATCTTTGTTCCAATGCCTGATTACCCTTTCAGCAAAAAAATTTTTTCTAATATCCAATCTAAACCTCCCCTGAAACAACATGAGGCCATTTCATCTGGTCCTGTCTCATTACATCAGAGAAGAGACACTAAGCTCTCTACAACCTCCTTTCAGGTGGTAGATGATAAGGTCCCCTCTGAGTCTCTTTCTCTTCAGACTAAACACACCCAGCTCCCTCAGCCACCCTTCATAAGACTTGTTCTCTAGTCCTTTCACTAGCTTCATTGCCCTTGGTCTTAAACATTACCTAAGGTATGTTAAAATACGTAATTATACTTTGATACTGCATCAGCAGTGTGTAAAGAATTCCTTAGGGAATATTTGCCTAGGCCTCTCACACATAGGCACAAAAAATTCACCGTATGCACATGTAAAACCATTTATATGCATGATAAATCAAGTCTAAAGGCCAGAGTGAACCAACTGAATTCTTAAGAGGAACCCAGAACCTATGCATTTACCTAATTCCCTTCACAAGTGTTTCATGCATGCAAGTTAGAAGTTATTTGACCAAATCTGATCCAATAGAGTTAATGGAAGGTATCGTAAATAAACTATGTGAGGTACTGACGTGATGTGTCCCAGTGGTTGCTGATGCCACTGTCTACAGTGGGCTTGCATGCATATTGGATGGTGTTTTCATGTCTGCTCACATGTCTGCTCAAGTGATCTGCCAGGTAAGGAGAAACGTCTCTAAGAACAGCTGCAATGTGTCTAATAAGAACAAGTGTAGAAGGTTTTACTCAGGTAAATGCTCATTTTTTCTTCAATAGAAGTTCTTATCTAAGTGAATTTGCCTAAAAAAAAATTGGCAGATGTATCCCAGAAATGCGACTGACATATTGCATGTAATTTTGATGATACGTAATAAATAAAAAAAGCAGAAAAAGAACAGTATGAATAAATTTAATCTTTTGTGCATGGCTCTTGAGTTCCTAACTCTAATGATTTATTTGCAATTCCTGCTAGGCTGATGCATTGCTACTATATTATTTTTGTTAAAATGTGTGGTTTATAATGCTGTTACTGATATCTCCCTTTTTGCATTCAGCAAAAAGGATGCTCTTGCTCAAAGCTTCACTGGCATTGGGCATATCATGTTAGTCACTTGGGAAGTATTTCATGCACTCATAGCACTTTATCAGCACGAAAGGAAGCACAGAGAATCAAAACAAAGGATTTCACACAGAGTAATAGAAAACAAGACGTGGTCTGTAGAATATTCATGAAAGGCTTGCAGTAGAGCCAAGAGGTATCTGAAGATAGAAGATATTGTGATAGCATACACATTTCTCAGTCTTTAAAACTGCATAAGCCCTCAGGTACAATTATTCATAGTCTTACACAGTCTCATTCAGTAGTCTTGAAGTATTAAACACTAGTTTATAAAAGACAGAACTCCCTGGGCTTCATTGATTGTTCTTCTAATGCCTTGAGGACAGTGCTAACCATTTACATTAGTAATACTTGGAACTCTGTAAAAGACAGCTGCATATTTTCTGTGACACACAGCTGTAGGAAACAAAATATCATTGATGAAAACAAGTTAGAAGAACTAAGAGTTTATTGTAGCCCACATGATGGCTTCAGCTTTGATTCAGCAGTGTTTGAGACACAGGAGAACAAGTTTATAAGCTTTAGCAGAGCCAAGTTGCAATGGTGCAAATTGGTGTAGGAGTCTTTTACGTGTCTTATTTCATTGACATCTAAAGTAAGTAAAAATGAAAAAAGATAGGAGAGGATTATAACAAAATACACATGCTAATATTGACTTACTAAATTCTGCTTAAAGTCTTGTAATCTCAAAGCTAATTTAATCCAATCACTTTTTAACTATACTGTCTTGCTCCAACTTCCAAATATAATGACTTTTTAATATAACTTGAACTGTTCTGTACCCAAAGTTGGATTTACTCATGTAGTTTGTTCAATCAGAACCAACATATTTTATAATTAAGCCTCACACCTGCACAGTCTCTATATTAAAGTATTAATAAGTCTATCTTAAGCTTTCACAGAATCATTTAGGATGGAAAAAACCTTGAAGAGTATCCAGTCCAACCTCTGACTGACTGATCACCACCCTATCAACTAAACCATAGAACTAAGTGCCATGTCCAGTCATTTCTTGAACACCTCCATAGACAAAAGCTGGCAGGGAGTTGCTGATCATGCTCACGGGCAGACTGGGTATCATTTAGAAGGTGGTGAACGTTTGTATTTTGCATCACCTGTTTCTCAGGTTTTGTTCATATCTCTCTCTCCTTTTTTATTATTTTTTTTAGCATTATTAGCATGTTTTATTTGTTTCAGTTATTAAATTATTCTTATCTCAACTCATGAGTTTTACTTTTTCTTTCTAATTCTCCTGCCCATCCCATTAAGGGGGTTGCCCAGGAGGTGGGGGACTGAATGAGCAGCTGTGTGATTCTACAGTGCCAGGAGCTCCCTTTAACATATACAGCCATGCAAAACTTTCTCCATGGGAAAACAATCTTGTGGTGCATGTAAGATAGTATATAATTCTACATCTGATAAATTGAGTGTCCTCTTTTTTTGCTTCAACTTAGTATTGGCCTCCATCCTAAGCTTAAAAGTCATTACTTTTTAGAAGTTAAAAATAACATAGATTTCTCCTTGTATTAAGCGTTTCTCAGGAGAGGAATTGTCTCCTTTTATCCTACTCCACTCTCAGTAAGCCAGTTAGCAATAGGTGAGATATAGTAGGTGAGCAAGCCGACCTGAGATTCATTGTATTTCCACCAGTGTGAACACCGTGCAAATCCTGATGCAGATTGGCCTCACTGATTTTTGCTGTTGACAAAGTGAGAGAAGATGCATGTCATAAGAGACCTGAGCTGCTCTGAGGAAGTTGAAATGCATTTGAGGGTGAGTTGAACCACTCTGCAAACTCCACTGGTGGAGTGAACAGTTCTAGGACCTGGATATATTGAATAGTTCTGGGATGACTATAGGGAGTGTTCAGAGAAAACACAATCAGCTATGTGTAGACACCTAACTCCAGGTGTCTTAATTTGAAGCAGTCACATCCACATCTAAAACTTTTTGTGGGCCGAAAAAAGGCAAATGCAAAGAGCAAGGATGAATTTATAAGAGAATAAGACTGCAGAGAATTTTCAGATCTTTTTCCTGAGAGCAACAGGGCGAATTTCTTGCTGTGTGAACCTTCTTTTCTCCTGAAGCCCAGTAGAAAAGCTGATGCAACAACAACAAACATTTGTCAGCTAAACAGATAATTAAGCTAATATAGCTCTTTCAATAGCAAGGAAGATATATCCAAACATAAACAAATCAACAGGAATTTTTGACATTTTTAAATCAACGAAATGCTGACTAAGAGGATGGAAAGACTGAGGGAACTGAAGCATTCCCCAACAGGCTAACACTAGTCCAAGGGGTCGCTATTGTAAATATGTTTGCATAAACTGACTATTTGCTTACAGATTAAGAAACTTAATGTGTTGTCCTTAGTAAGTTGAAGTTTGAACATTTCTACTGCCAAAATGGTTATACTTTATAAATATTTTTTTAAGTTGTCATTTTTAGATAACTTTCTCCTGCCTGATGGTCAAGGGCTTGCAGAAAGGCCTAATCTCAAAAGTCCTTCTTAATTGACAGTATTTTCTCACTGCCTCACCATCCAGTATAAAATGTTATGCACAGGAACTGCTGATGGTTAACCACAAGCTCTGCAAATTGGTGTAAACTTCCCGTTTTTCATCTCCATGGGCTACTTTACAGCGCAGGAATAGGATTTCTTTATGACAGCCAAAAAAGTCATGGGATGGTGTGGGAAATACTCATAAATGCAGTCAACCAGTTAAATACCAAACCAATTGTACATGCACTTTGTCAGATTTGAAAAAAAAAAAGTGTAAACATTTGTGTGTACTTTTGCACACTGATCATCGTGCCATACTATCACAACTCTTTAGCACTGACTCACTTCATCTATGTCCCTTCCAGCAGGAAGAGGGAATTGGAAAAAATATTTTAGAGAAATAAAACAAATAAGCACTGTAGAAATTGTATAGCAGGAGAAAAGTAGTCTTTAAAGGAGACAAAAGGAAGTCAGAAAGTTGAGTCAGAATAGAAACCAGGACTAATACTCTCTGTGGCACTAATCTTATTTTCAGGATATATTTTATAATTATGAAGGATTTGTGTTAAAAGAAAACCTTAAGGAAGGATAAAAAGCTATAATACTGGGAGGGAAGGAAAAGATTAACGTGCTCACCTCAAAGAAGAAAAAACCCAGTGTGCAAACACCTTTGTAGGTGTGTAAAAGTGTTCATTTAGTTTTAGCATAAAATATCTGAGTGTTTTTTCAATTTTTTTTTTAATGGGCTCTTTAGGGAACAGAACAAACAGTGTAATGGGGAGATTTATGACAAGTGTTACTACACTTGCAAATGCTTATTGATTAAACATGGAACTTGCAAATATACAACCAATCATCAGTCACAGAAATAAAAATTCAGTTACCTTGTACGATTTGCCCTGTACCCAGTCTACCTATATTATACACTGTATCCTTTCTCCATGATCTTGAAATATCAGTGTTTTTGTAATTGGAAATTAAAATTCAAAGCTAGGAAATGTCCTTATCATTGATGCGTCTATCATGCAAGATTGTTTTTCAGAAGAAAAAAATTAATAATGCAAGACCCCTGCTTTCCCTCAATACAAAAATCTGTCAACCTTTGCACAGATAAAACTCTGCTTTTAGGTGTTCACTGTTTTTAAGGATTTCACCTTAACAGAAATAGAAACAGTAATAGAAAAGAGAGATCAAGGTAATGTAATAAATAAAATTTACAAGGTTTTATTTATGCTTGCTAATACCATATTTCGATTTAAAATATTTAATGAGCTTGTGTTTATTTTAGTAACACAGTCTATGAATTTTTTTTAATGCTTGTGAATAATAAAATAATATATGTTGTAGAATGGTGGTTCCCAAACAGTGATCACCAGGTCACTACCAGTGACCAAGAGTTATGTCCCAAAACCATGTCTCCCCTTACAGTTTTATGGTTTAAAGGTTTATTGACAAGAATGTATTTGACCACTGAAAAATGTTCATGGTAGTTATGATTGAGAGATTTATAAAATATGATTTGGGATGATTTAATCACCCTACAGCCTTGTAATGTGTGTTGGAATTGTAACAAACACCCTGCTTTCAAGTTGTTTTCAAATCCCGGCCTTGATTTTTAAAATTTTTTTCTTCAAAAGAAGGACTTGAAGGTCTGAAATCTAAGAAATACATACTAGGAATTTCCTATCAAACTGTATGGATTGACCTTCATCAAAATATCAACATTTAATATTTTTTGTATGTCAAACAATCTAGCTGTCTCATCTAATTGGATCTTGTGTGGCAATTTGTTCAAGATACAGGTACAATAAAAATGAGACTTAGGAATGAAAAGGTTGCCAATATAAATTACAACATTATTGAATTCCAGTGCACCAAGCTGCTAAAATATCATAAAGTTACAGACTAATAAACTGAGAATGATATATAAGATCCCATAGATCTTAACTTTCAAAGAGGAAAAAAAAAAAGACAGAAAAGAGTTGCTGTATGTATATTCTTCATATAGTGTGTTTTTTCCAGAAACTGTGTGCATTACTTGACCTACTTGTTACCATTCAGAGAACATCACACTAAAAATATTAACTTATTTGTTTAACTTCTTTTTATACTTAGTTCTAGTTGAAACTGTTTACTTGTCTGCAGGGTTGGGGTGGTTTTTAGAGTTTCATCACGAAAACAAGTAAAAGACAGTCATAAGTGATATATGTGTTTACAATAATTGTTGGTATTATGCTATTGAAAGCAAAATATTCGCCTTGTGTACTTGGCAAATTATACATTTTCAGTGTTCTTTCCTTGATCTGCAAATGACAGAAAATCTGATGGTGTTATCCAAAAGCAAAAGTGATAAAACACTGGCTTCACTGGTGTATGTCACTGCTGAATGTTTAACATGGAGAATATAAAGAAATGAAAAAATCAGTGCTTCATCATGAGGTGGAGACCCATGAAGTTAAGAAAGGTGAAGTCTTGATGTTTGCACTGGGCAGAATGTATCAGTTAGGCCAGGAAACAGTGGAATACAAAAAAGCGGTCTGATGTGTTTTCTTGAAATGCTGCAGGATTAGACTGTAACGATATGAAATGCACAGGGAAATAAAGCCTCAGATCAATACCAAGCTGTATCACTTAATGGACCAATGCAAAAATATCTTCAGAGACCAAACCTAGGTACCTTGCTGAGCTCAGATAGAGAAAAAAAAACCAGCTTCCAGAAAATATGCTTTTTCTATCATCTTCTCAAAAAGCCTTTTCAGAAAGGTTTGTTATTTTAAGTAACTATTGCAGTAGAGTTTCTGATCCAGAAAAGGACTGAACCTTCAATACAAAAAATCGAGAATCTGGTGAGCACCCTTTTAAGACTTTCAGTGTTGAAGCCATACATTCACATCAGAAATTAGATTAAAGAGAGAAAAATAACTACCAGGAACTCCTGAAAGGAATTAGAAAATCTGTGCAGGGCTTGTACCAACCTGTAGAAATCAGTAATGCAAACAGAACAGTTCTCTGTGATTTTTCAACCTCACAGACTAGAGATGCTATTCAATACCTCACTGATGAGTAGGAGGAATTTCAGAGAACATCTGAAGGAGATTTGTGTCTCACCAGTTTTCTAATGAAAATGAATGAGTAACTTTCAAGTTTTCACAAACTTCTCTTGAGTCTCTGCCAGTTTTCAGAACACAGCACTATAGTAATTGCACTGAACACTGAGATTGATGTCAGGATTAAAGGTTATGAGCTATGAGGGCAGGCTGAGAGTTTAGATCCATAAGGTCTGAGAATGGAGCCTGTTGAAATGCTGCATTGAATGCTAACTTGAAGCTTTGGGAGGGGGACTTGTTTTTTTCCAGTATAACTGTGCTAATTGCACAAGTGGGTGTGAATAGCAATTACAGGAAAAGCAATTTAGGATAGGTACCAGAAATCACTTTTTCCATGCAGATAGTCTGTAGGTATGAACTGTTACAAGGATGGAGAAAAAATAGAATTGCTAAAAAAACCCAACTCACACACAAAACTGATGTCATACAGAACTGGACTATTGCTTATTCATTAGCCATGGATGTGGGGCCAATTGTTGTTCTAAGCCAAGTTGGCTCTATGTTGCTTTAGCAGTTCTAAGCAGAATTAAACCTGTTCTGACTAACTGGGGATTTATCCCACATGGGAGAAATTTCTGAGCAGTGTAAAGCTGTCATTGCAATAACCTGGCAAAGGAAATACTCATTGGAAATGTACTGGGGCAGGAAGGACTATGCTTGGAACATACCATGCTCCAGTCATCCCTGCCAATATAATTGCCTCTAAGGGGTTCTACCATCTGGTGCAAACTACAGAATGCCTGGGGCTATTTTAACTCATACTGGGATTTAACCTATGAGCAGGAGAGCACTTAAATGGCTTTAAGCCTGTTTTACCTTCTATTCTGCATTAAGCAGAGTATTTTTGTAATTATGAAGTCTACTTAAAATCCATTGAAGTTCAATTAGTTAATATGGACTAGATTCTGACATAGATGGGAAATAGATCTTGGAACTGAATGAACTTCTGTGGTCTTTGTTTTTCATGCAAATACTCTTAGTAAGAAGAAAAACAGGCAAATGTCAAATGCACAAGTAAAATGTTCTCAGAACAAGATTTTTTTTTTGCTGAATGTTTCCATTAAGTCAATTAAAAAGTTTGACTTGCTGAAACACATCCAAGAGTAATGACAGAAATACCTAAATAAATAGAAGGTGCACATATGCAATTCAATAGGAAT